AGGGTTACTGCCAATTCACCAGGGGATTATTTATACTCTGGGGATCAGCAGGCAGGGAGGTTCAGGTTACCAGTAGGAGGTGGGGGAGCTCCCTCCCTTGGTGTTCCCCATAACCTTGCCAATGCCTTTAGACTCTTCTACTTTCTCAGGGTACTTAGCCTCAGCCCTGTTTCCAGATGTGGCCAGGTGCCCCCGGAACCTACCCACAGTCCTCATGTGATTTGAAGAGGAAGGGACTTTAAGTGGCAGTGGAGAAGGAGGCAGAAAACATGAAGGGCAAAGACCTGTTTTAGACAGTCTTATTAATAGGGCACTGGGCTGATGCAGCTGACGCTTGGCATGGCTTTGGTAGAAGATGGGGGAGGGGTTAGAAGTATGGGGAGCTGTGTACATTGCAAGAGAAAGGAAGAGCTGGAATGAGAATGAACAGATCAGAAATCCTGAGATCTGACAAGAAACCAGACTTGAGGAAAATTAAGTTCTCAGGACCCATTGCAGTTTATTTGTGAATGAATGGGAAAAGGGTGTCAGTCCAAGGGGAAATCAGGTGGTTCCTCCTCATCAGAGTCAAACTCAACATTCTCATCTTTTACCCATCGACCTCGTCCATCTGGGATCCATCCAGAGCTGAAAACATCAGAGAAAATGGCATTGATCAGGAAAGAGGCTCATTAAGAAGTCAGCGGTGAGCTCGCACCTGTAATCCCAGCCCTTTGGGAGGCTGAGGCGGGTGGCTCACCTGAGGTCAGGAGTTTGACCGGCCTGACCAACATGGTGAAACCCTGTCTCCAGCAAAAAAAAAGTCAGTGGTGAGAAAAAACTGAGAGTCATGTAAGTTGGGTGGCTAAAACAAAATGGAACCAAAGATAAAAAACAAAAATAGAAGTAAAAAAAAAAAAAAAAGATCAAAAATAAGAAAAATTCAGTGAAATAGCTTTGAAAAATGGAGGGTCAGAGAGAAAAGAAAATCTGAGGAAACTGATTAGGCACACTCACCTTCGAAGGGTGAGATAATGGTTCAGGGCTCGTCTTCTTGTGGGGCTCACAGGTGCAGGGGCTGAGACAGTTGCTGACTCCTCTGCCTGCGGGCCAGCCCCAGGCTCGAGTTCCCTACTGATCTTCCCACTCTGGAGTTCGACCTCTGAGGGTGGCATAGGGGAAAGGGAGACAGAGGGACCAGGGGCTTCTGGTCTAGGTAGAGAAGAATAGTCTGTAAAAGCAGTAAGGCTGAAAGGGCCAACTCTCCTATGACTCCCAACCGCTTAAAACAGTGCTTCTCAAACTGTATAACTATATTTCTCAAGATATATTAATAAGTTCTGCATACAAAGGATTTTAGAATCATGAATTTGAGAAAGGCTAGCATAAATATTTTTAGGTTTTTTTTTTTTTTTTTTTTTTTTTTTTGAGATAAGTGTTTTGCTCTTATTGCCCAGGCTGGAGTTCAATGGTGCAATCTCAGCTCTTCGCAAACTCCGCCTCCTGGGTTCAAGCGATTCTTCTGCCTCAGCCTCCTGAGTCGCTGAGATTACAGCTATGCGCCACCATGCCCAGCTAATTTTGTATTTTTAATAGAGATGGGGTTTCTCCATGTTGGTTAGGCTGGTCTCAAACTCCTGAACTCGGGTGATTCGCCCTAAAGTTTTTTAAATCTTACGACTTTGGCCTGGTCAAGGGGGCTCACGCCTGTAATCCCAGCCCTTTGAGAGGCTGAGGAGGGCCGATCATGAGGTCAGGATATTGAGACCATCCTGGCTAATATGGTGAAACCCCGCCTCTACTAAAAATACAAAAAATTGGCTTGGCATGGTGGCACGCACATGGTCCCAGCTACTTGGGAGGCTAAAGGAGGAGAATTGCTTAAACCCAGGAGGCAGAGGTTGCAGTGAGCCGAGACCGGGCCACTACACTCCAGCCCAGGCAACAGAGCAAGACTCCATTTCTAAATAAATAAATAAATAAAAATAAGACTTTGTATAGCTCTTAAAATATACTGTTACTATTCTTCAAGTAGAATTACAAAGTGCCATTTCCCAAACTTTATTTAAAAATCACAAAATTCGGCTGGGCACGGTGGCACACGCCTGTAATCCCAGCACTTTGGGAAGCCGAGGCAGGCAGATCACAAGGTCGAGAGTTCGAGACCATCCTGGTCAAGATGGTGAAACCCCGTCTCTACTAAAAATACAGAAAATTAGCCGGGTGTGGTGGCAAGCACCTGTATGTAATTCCAGCTACTCTGGAGGTTGAGGCAGGAGAATCACTTGAACCCAGGTGATGGAGCTTGCAGTGAGCCAAGACTATGCCACTGCACTCCAGAGTGAGACTCTATCTCAAAAAAAAAAAAAAAAAAAAAAAATCACATCCTCTCTCCCCCCACCCGACTCCTTCTTTCTTTCTTTCTTTTTTTTTTTTTTTTGAGACGGAGTTTCGCCCTTGTTACCTAGGCTGGAGTGCAATGGCACGATCTCGGCTCACCGCAACCTCCGCCTCCTGGGTTCAGGCAATTCTCCTACCTCAGCCTCCTGAGTAGCTGGGATTACAGGCACGTGCCACCATGCCCAGCTAATTTTTTGCACTTTTAGTAGAGATGGGGTTTCACCACGTTGACCAGGATGGTCTCGATCTCTTGACCTCGTGATCTACCCGCCTCGGCCTCCCAAAGTGCTGGGATTACAGGCTTGAGCCACCGCGCCCGGCGCCCGACTCTTTCTTTCTTTCGAGTCTTACTCTGTCACCCAGGCTGGAGTGCAGTGGCATGATCTCAGCTCACTGCAACCTCCACCTCCTGGGTTCAAGCAATTCTCCTCTCTCACCCTCCCGACAGGTTCAGGCAATTCTCCTCTCTCACCCTCCCGACAGGTTCAGGCAATTCTCCTCTCTTACCCTCCTGAGTAGCTGGGACTACAGGTGCCTGCCACCATGCCTGGCTAATTTTCTGTATTTTTAGTAGAGACAGGGCTATATCATGTTAGCCAGGATGGTCTTGGATCTCTCCTGACCTCGTGATCCACCCACCTCAGCCTCCCAAAGTGCTGGGATTACAGGCAAGAGCCACCATACCCAGCCCCTGCCTTTTTTTTTTTTTTTTTTTTCTTTTTTTTAAGACTGAGTCTCACTCTGTCACCCAGGCTGGAGTGAAGTGGCATGATCTCGGCTCACTGCAACCTGTTCCTCCTGGGTTCAAGCGATTCTCCTGTCTCAGCCTCCCGAGTAGCTGGGGATTACAGGCACACGTCACACACCCAGCTAATTTTTTACATTTTTGGTAGAGTTAGGGTTTCACCATGTTGGCCAGGCTGGTCTTGAACTCCTGACCTCAAGTGATCCGCCTGCCTCGGCCTCCCAAAGCGCTGGCATAACAGGCGTGAGCCACTGTGCCTTGCCAAAATTCTCCTTTTCTTGAAACACTAAGTAACATCTCCCGAACACCAGTGTTCCTTAGAATACACATTGGAGAACTCTTAGAGGCAACTGTCTCCTTCTGAGCCTTCCGACCTCTGGCTTTCCCCTCCCATACCTGTACTTCCGGCGGCAGCAACTGTTATAGTTGGGGGCTCTGTGCAGAGCACTCTGGGTGATAAGTCGTGTCTGGGTTAGCAGAGGAGCCTGATAAGGAGATGGGAGACAGAGTCAGAGGCTTCAGCCCTCTTCCCTTTCAGCCTGGTGTGTGCAGCAGGGTCTTGACTAGAATACAGTCTCCATTCTCTCAATACCTCCGCTTTGGTTTCTTCCCTCCTCAATTCATTCTGATGTCTTGGATTCTGCTTCCTCTCCTTTCCCGGCTGCTTCTTGCCATAGAAAAGCTGCAAGCCTGAGGAGAAAGGGAAACAAGATTAAAAGCATAACACCAAGAGTGGTGTGCAGAAATTTCGAGGGTTTATTCCCCATACCCTGAGTTTCCCCAAACTTACTGGATAGATGTTTCTTGCCTGCTCGGTGGGCAGTCAGCATAGCCAGGGTGTCCAGGACTGGTCGATGGGGGCAGATGGCACAAGCAAAACTGAGCGGGGGGGAGAGAAGAGGATAAGGGGTCCAGGGGAGGAGGGTTGGGCCAGTCCTCACAGTAAGTCCCACCCTGTCCTAGCAGTCCTTTCCAAAGCCCAACTCCAGGTCACCCAATCCCCTCTTCCTCCGATCCTTGCTTCCCGCCAAGGAATCCTAGATACTGCTGCTGTCCTGATTAATAACAAAAGTTTGTTGAAGCCGGGCATGGTGACGCCCGCCTGTAATCCCAGCTACTCGCGACGCTGAGGAAGCAAGATCACTTGAGCTCTAGAGTTTGAGGACAGCCTGGGCAACACAGCGAGACCTCCATCTCAAAGGAAAAAAAAAAAAAAAAAAAGTTTGTGGAGCCTCTAACCATAGAACCCTCAGGCCTGGGCCACTCCTCGCTCTTACCGTCCATCCCGAAGCATCAGCGCCTCATCCTCTGGGATGTAACTGGCTAGCAGATCCCCGACTCTTCTTTTCTGCAGGGAGAAGGGGAAGAAATTCGCACGGCATCAGCAGATAAAAGAGACGGATGGAAGTGAAATGAGAGAAATGAGGAGTCAAATGGAATAAGGACCCTGGGGAGAACAGCGATCATAGACCGAAAAAGGTGTCACTATCCAGCTCTAAGCCGCCTGGCTCTCTCCTGCACCCCCGAGCTGCTGCCAGAGCAACGAAAAAAAGCTCCTTCCCAACCTTCAGAGAGCGACTGAAGCTGCTCTAGATCCTCTCGGCTCACGCTTACTTTGAGCACATTGAGTTGACTCCAATCGTCTCCTTCCCTCTTGAAAGACATCACGACTGTGAGTTCCAGAAATGATAAATTCTCTTGTTCCTGTTTCTCAACTCCTCCAGGCCACCGTAGCAAGAGTGGGACAACTCTTTCTCTGTTTTCAGTCTCTTCCTGTCGGCTTCCGTACTTCCGGGGACGCACTTCCACGCATGCATTGCGCGATCCGGAAATCTACTCTCTGGTGCACGGAGGGAACTGCATTTCCCATGGTGCCCTGCGACACCGCAGCCGCGGAGCCTTTTGGGAAATGAAGTCTTTTCTCAAAGAGCTTGCCGCTCAGCTGGATCCAGGCCCTCGCATCTTGGCGGATCTGCGGCGTTTCGAGGGACAAGAAGCTAGATGTGGAGCCGAAATGTGAGGGTGTGACCTATCTGATGCGTGGAAGGTGTACTACAAACTCTCGCAATCTTCACGCTCTTCGTCTGCGGCGACAGTTCCCCTGGGGTGGGCCTGATTTGTTTCTGACCCTAGCAGACGAACCCCGGGACCGGGCAGACCCGGGATGTGGGAGCCCCCTGAGGCCAGGCTACCGGCCTTGGGGGCAAACTGAGGAAAGAGTGTTGAGGATTATTTCTAGAGTTCAAAGGTCAGAGGTCAATGTAGCGAGGGGTTGTGGGGGAGTTCAAAGTCGGTGAGGTGCTTAGGGGAGAGATTCAGGGAGGGACCGAATACTCAACCAAGGGACAGATTCGTGGATAACAAGCTTGGAGGGAGGAGAAGCCGGGAGGGGGCAGGTGGCGGAGTGCCGGGGAGGCGGGGACACAGGGGAAGAGAGAAGGGGAGAGGAATCCCCTGAATATCCATTCCCAGACTTAAGGCCTGTCACCCTCAGTCTCGGCCGGGCCTCCGCCAGTTGCAACCCTAGCTGTCGGCAGGGTGAAGAGATGGCTTCCCCGTCTAGACAGCCCCCCCCAGGGGGGTCAGGACTTCTTCAAGGGAGCCGGGCTCGTTCATATGGAAGCCTGGTGCAATCAGCCTGCTCCCCAGTGAGGGAGAGACGCCTGGAGCATCACTTGGAGCCTGGAGACACCCTGGCTGGACTAGCACTCAAATATGGGGTGACGGTGAGTTTTCCAGGATTGGGGTGTAGACAACAGTCAGGAGGGACTTAGTCCTGAGAAGAACGTAGTGGCCCTTCTAGGTGAACTCCCCTGAAATGTTCCTAATGTGTTACACGCTGTTCTGCGTTTGTCTTTGTGTTCCCATCGCAGCGTGGCACTGCCCGGTGGGGACAAGTCCTGTCCTACTATTCCAATGGAAAGGAACAGCTCCAATTTTCGTATGCCAGACACTGTGCTGGGGGCTTCACATACATTAGCTCATTTCACCCTCACATCCCTATCAAGTATACATTTATTGTTCCCTTTTGGCAGATGAAGAAACTGAGCCTTGGATTGGTTAACCAGTTTGACTAAAGTCAAATAATGAGTGTCAGGTTTGGGATTCAAACAGGTCTATCTGACCCTATTAACCACACAGAAACATTTTTTTTTCTTTTTTCTTTTTTTTTTTGAGACGGAGTTTCGCTCTGTCTTCCAGCCTGAAGTGTGGCGGATCTCGGCTCACTGTAACCTCCGCCTCCCGGGTTCAAGTAATTCTCAGCCTCAGCCTCCCAAGAAGCTGGGATTGCATACAGGCGCCTGCTGCCACACCTGGCTAATTTTTGTATTTTTAGTAGAGGCAGGGTTTCACTATGTCGGCCAGGCTGGTCTTGAACTCCTGACTTCATGATCCACCTGCCTCAGCCTCCCAAAGTGTTGGGATTACAGGCCACACAGAAAATTTTACCTTGAGAGTGATTAAACATTTATAGCAAATAATGGAGAGCTGATTTTTAATTCTCAGTTCCTAAAGTGCCTACCTCTCCTTGATCTTGGTTCCTCCTCTGTCTTCTTTCCAATAAGGCGGCTTCCTTGGTGCAAAACAGGTACTCTCTACACCAAGTATATCAGGTCATGCATGGGGAACATTTGATAGATGTAAAAATGTACATCGTTAAAGTTGATGAGGTTACTTTCCCTACCCCCTCCCCTATTTTCTTGTTCAATTTCACACAAACAAATGTTGAATTTAGCCAACATTTGTATGCGTGCTGTATTTAAAGCACTGTGGTAACTTTCCTGGCAGACAGAAACTTAAATAAACTATATGGTTGCTGTCCTCTGTAATGTATGGCCTAATGAGAAATGGACAGGGACACAGATAATGATTACAAGTGACAGAATGTGGTGAGTTTGTAAAGGTATTAACAAAGAATAGGGGCTGGGCACGGTTACTCACCCCTGTAATTCCAGCACTTTGGGAGGCCGAGACAGGCAGATCACCTAAGGTTATGAGTATAAGACCAGTCTGGCCAACATGGTGAAACCCCGTCTCAACTAAAAATACAAAAATCAGCGGGGTGTAGTGGTGCTTGCCTGTAATCCCAGCTACTCAGCAGGCTGAGGCAGGAGAATTGCTTGAACCCGGGAGGTGGAGGTTGTAATGAGCTAAGATCACATCACTACACTCCAGCATTCCAGCCTGGACAACAGAGCAAGACTCCGTTAAAAAAAAAAAAGAAGGACAGGAAATCAGAAAAGATTAAGTTTTAGTTGGAAAGCAGCTGGGGTAGGCCAGGTGTGGTGGCGCGTGCCTGTAATCCCAGCAGTTTGCGAGGCTGAGGTGGGTGGATCGCTTGAGCTCAGGAATACAGGACAAGCTGGGCAACATGGTGAAACCCCATCTCTACAAATAAAATGCAAACATTAGCTCAGTGTGGTGGCATACGCCTGTAATCCCACGTATTGGGGAGGCTGAAGCAGAGGATCAGTGAAGCCCAGGAGGCAGAGGTTGCAGTGAGCTGAGGTCGTACCACTGTACTCCAGCCTGGGTGACAGAAAGAAAAGAAAGAAAGAGAGAGAGAGAAAGAAAGGGAAAGAAAGAAGGAAGGAAGGACAAGAAAGGAAAGAAAGAAAAGAAAGAACTAATGTACTATATCTGTAGTTTCTATATTTCATTATCTCTATTATAATTAATAATTTTTTATAAAGCATTAATGAGTCCCTGCTATGTGTCAAGGTCTGTAGGATGCTAGCCACTGCCTGGGGATACAGAAACAGCAAGTTACAATCTTTGCCCTTAAAGGACTCATAGGGTTTAGGCAAAGCAAATATTTAAAGAGATGAATAATATAGTAGGGTATGTATTATTACAGCGATATTTACAGTATGCATTGGGAGCCCTGAAGAAGGTAGCACAAAGGGGCTGATAGTTGATGAATAGACGTTTTCTAAGCAGAGAATGGGATAGTGGTGGTGGGTGGGGGGTGGGACGGGACCATTTCAGGCAGAAGTAACAGCATGAATAAAGTGTGAAAAAGATCATGGAATGTTCAAAGAAAAATTAAAAATTCAGGATAGCAAAATGTATAGGTGGCAGAGGGATATTAATCTAGACATTTCCTTTGAGAGCCGGATTGAGAAAGCCCTTGAATGCTAATTTGGTTTTTATCTTTTAGCCAATGAGGAGGCATAGGGGATTTAGAAGCAGGGTAGTGGGTTAATCAGATTTATTTTTTCAGAAAAATAGATGCCAAGAGAAGGATGAGTAGAATTAGAATGAGGGGCCAGGCGCAGTGGCTCAGGCTTGTAACCCCAGCACTTTGGGAGGCCAAAGCAGGCAAATCACTTGAGGTCGGGAGTTCAAGACCAGCCTGACCAACATGGAAAAACCCCATCTCTACTAAAAATACAAAATTAGCTGGGCCATCCTAGCTACTTGGGAGGCTGAGGCTGGCAAATCACCTGAGCCTGGGAGGTGGAGGTTGTGGTGAGAGCCAAGATCGCGCCACAGCACTCCAGCCTGAAAAACAAGAATAATGAAAGCCCGTCTTAAAAAAAAAAAAAAAGAAAAAAGAAAAAAAAAAAAAGCCAGGCGTGGTGGCTCACGCCTGTAATCCCAGCACTTTGGGAGGTTGAGGCGGATGAATCACGAGGTCAAGAGATCGAGACCATCCTGGTCAACATGGTGAAACCCCGTCTCTACTAAAAATACAAAAAATTAGCTGGGCATGGTGGCGCGTGCCTGTAATCCCAGCTACTCGGGAGGCTGAGGCAGGAGAATTGCCTGAACATAGGAGGCGAAGGTTGCGATGAGCCGAGATTGTGCCATTGCACTCCAGCCTGGGTAACAAGAGCGAAACTCCGTCTCAAAAAAAAAAAAAAGAAGAAGAAGAAATAGAGCAAGGAAGGCCAGTTAAACCATTGCAATAACTTCAAATGAGAAGTACTAAGGGTCTATTTTAAATGTTTGGCAGTAGACCTGAAGATAAGAGCAGATGTGAGAGAGATTTTTGAAGCAGTTTTGTTGACCACTTGGTAAAGTGATGGAAGAAAAGTATTAGTTAAGGATGACACGGATGTTTCCACCTTAGGAGGCTAGGCAGATAGATGGTGAGGCCAGTAAGTATGTCCAGTGATGAATAAATAGGTCAAAATAAATATTTATTAATGAGGCCAGGTGTGGTTGCTCACACCTGTAATCCTAGCACTTTGGGAGGCTGAGGCAGGTGGATCACCTGAGAGCAGGAGTTTGATCCTGACCAACATGGCAAGACCCCGTCTCTACTAAAAATGCAACAGTTATCCGGGCATGGTGGCTCACGTCTGTAATCCCAGCTACTTGGGAGGCTGAGGAAGGAGAATCACTTGAACCCAGGAGGTGGAGGTTGCAGTAAGCCAAGATCGTGCCACTGTACTCCAGCCTGTGGGACAGGAGCGAGCCTCCATCTCAAAAAAAAAAAAAAATTATTAATGAAACTGTTAATAGTATAGTGTGGGCTGGGCACAGTGGCTCATACCTGTAATCCCAGCATTTTGGGAGGCCAAAGTGGGCGGATTACCGGAGGTCAGGAGTTTGAGACCAGCCTGACTAACATAGTGAAACCCCATCTCTAAAAATACAAAATTAGCTGGGTGTGGTGACACATGCTTGTAATCCCAGCTACTTGGGAGACTGAGGCAGGAGAATTGCTTGAACCCAGGAGGTGGAAATTGCAGAGAGCTGAGATCTCCATTGCCCTCCAGCCTGGGCAACATGAGTGAAACTCTGTCTCAAAAAAAAAAAATAGTATAGTGTGAAAAGCATTCCCAGAAGCAGTGGACTGACATTCTAGCTGTGTCATTAACTTGCTGGATAATTTTAGGCAAGTAGTTTAACCTCTCTGAGCCTCAGTTCCCTCATTTTTATTTATTTATTTATTATTTTTAGAAATGGTGTCTCACTATGTTGCTGAAGCTGGACTCTAATTCCTGGGCTCAAGGAATCCTCCCGCCTCAGTCTCCTGAGTAGCTGGGATTACAGGCATCAGACATTGCGCCTAGCTTGCACAATAATTTTTTTTTTCAAGGCGGAGTCTCACTCTGTTGCCCAGGCTGGAATACAGTGGCATGATCTCAGCTCAGCACAACCTCCGCCTTCCGGATTCAAACAATTCTCCTACCGCAGACTCCCAAGTAGATGGGACTACAGGCACCCATCACCATGTCCAGCTAATTTTTGTATTTTTAGTAGAGATGGGGTTTCACTGTGTTGGCCAGGCTGGTCTCAAACTCCTGACCTTGTGATCCACCCGCCTCAGTCTCCCAAAGTGCTAGGATTACAGGCGTAAGCTATCATGCCCGGCCTGCATAATAATTTTTTTAAATGTAAGGGGGCCCCAAGACCAGAAAGTGTGAAAATCACTCATCTATAAAATAGAAATGACATCAGCCCTTTGTACTTTAGCTCGGTTGTCACGGAATCAAAGACTCTACAATCACTTCAAAAAGCTCTAGATGCAATATAAGATTGATCATTATTACTGTCCTTAATTTTGGTGACTTTTTTTTTTTAAAGATGGAACAGATTAAACGTGCAAACCGCCTTTACACTAACGACTCCATCTTCCTGAAGAAAACCCTCTACATCCCCATCCTGACAGAGCCCAGAGACCTGTTCAATGGTTTGGATTCTGAGGAGGAGAAAGATGGAGAGGAAGAAGTACACCCAAGTACCGATGAAGTTTGGCCACACTCAACTGCGAGGAAGAAAGAAGAGACAGGAGCAGCACGTGCCAATGGCGAAGGCCTCCCGGCACCTGGCCATGACCTCTCTGCCTCTGATTTCCTTAAGAAGCTTGATTCACAGATCAGCCTGTCCAAGAAGGCTGCTGCGCAGAAGCTGAAGAAGGGGCCAAGTGGGTGAGTCTTGAATGGTTCCTTGTAAGTTCCTCCCTAGACCCCTCCATTCTTCCAGTCTTACCTAACCACAAACACAAGAAGTCAGCAGAGTGCCAGCAGAGGCAAGGTGATACCGTTTCCCCGTGTGGCCCGGAGATAGCGAGCAGAGGCGATGGCTGCCGGAATGGGCAGAGGCAGTGGGAAACCGGGTTCTGTGTTCTTATCGGAGTCAGACAGTTCACTGTTTTTACTGCTCTGATCAGCCACGAAGGAGCATTAGGGTTGGTTAGGATTTTTTTTTTTTTTTTTTTTTTTTTTTGAGACGGAGTTTCGCTCTTGTTACCCAGGCTGGAGTGCAATGGCGCGATCTCGGCTCACCGCAACCTCCGCCTCCTGGGTTCAGGCAATTATCCTGCCTCAGCCTCCTGAGTAGCTTGGATTACAGGCATATGCCACCATGCCCAGCTACTTTTTTGTATTTTTAGTAGAGACGGGGTTTCACCATGTTGACCAGGATGGTCTCGATCTCTTGACCTTGTGATCCACCCGCCTCGGCCTCCCAAAGTGCTGGGATTACAGGCTTGAGCCACCGCGCCCGGCAGGGTTGGTTAGGATTTATCTAGAGCAGGCATCCCCAAACTTCTTACACAGGGGACCAGTTCGCTGTCCCTCAGACCGTTGGAGGGCCGCCACATACTGTGCTCCTCTCACTGACCACCAATGAAAGAGGTGCCCCTTCCTGAAGTGCAGTGGGGGGCCAGATAAATGACCTCAGGGGGCCGCATGTGGCCCACGGGCTGTAGTTTGGGGACGCCTGATCTAGAGGGTATAGAGACTCTTTTGGAGCAACCAGCTTATGTATGAGAAGACAGCTGCCCATGTACCTCTCAGGCTCTTCCCTTGATCTGTCACTCTTTCCCTCCTTTCCTCCCCTGCAGGGTACCCGGGGAGGATGCAGGTCCCCACCTGAGCTCCCCTCGGATGCAGCAACGCGCAGTCCTGGGTCCCGTGCCGCTGACCCGTACCTCTCGGACCCGGACGCTACGGGACCAGGAGGATGAGATCTTCAAACTCTGATCACTGAGAGAAGCAAGATGTTCAAGGAGAAACTTCAGGGGGAGAGGAGCCTGAGGTGAGGCTCAAGACCATGGCTTACCAGCCTGCCTGCCTCCACTCCAGCCACCTTCCCCAGCCTCTTTGTCTGCCAAAAATTCCTTGGCTGGGGCAGTTTTATTGGCAAGATTAGGGAATGGGGACTGGACCTTTCCCAGTTCTTGGGCTGAATCTAGAGTTGAGTCCTTTAGACTCAGCTGGCTCTTTTTATATCCCTGTTGCCTTTCCTATCCTTTTTACCATTCCCTGGCCTTAGAACAGGGAAGCAGAGACTCCCCCTCAGCTTCTTCCTCGTCTCCAACTATGTGACATAATTTATTTGGTGCTATATTGAAGTAGTATTTATTTGCTATATTTTATGCCTTCCCACTCTGAGCTGAAAAATGGAATCTCTGTAGCCCTGCGGTGAGGAGAACCAGGAATAATGAGCCAGTGACTGCTGGTTCTCCACCTTCCCCACCTTGTTAGCCAAACCGGTTACTGAGGATGAGGCGATCAGTGATCCCGCCCACCACAGAGAATGGATGACTACTGGCCTTTTCTCCAATCTCAAAGTCATATATTTGGGCTGAGTTGTGTGTTTTTTTTTTTTTTTTTTGGTACCCCATACCTGTTGAACGGGCTCAGTCTTGACTAATCAATTCTCTGTAACTTTTTCACAACTCTTGACTCTTAGAAAAAGCAGCACTGTGGGGACCTGAAGGCTCCATCCTACCAGTTCACCCCTCTGCCCTGTTCTCAGCCTGTGGTCAGGGGAACGGGTGGAAGAAGGCTTTCCTTGGGGTTGGAAGAGGAAGCCAGTTGTGGAAGTCTCTTTGTCCCCTGACCCCCCGCCCAGAGCCCCTCTGTCCGTGCTTCCTCCTCACTGCGTATTTCTTTGCGATTTGTAGCACTGATCTATGGTACCGTTGTTTTGCTTGTTTCTTAAACAGAAGTAGGCAAGGGAACCTCAATAATAATGGAAATCTGCCTCAGTCTCCTGTTTGGAAATGATGAGAGGAGAGATAAGTGGTGTTTATATACCTCCTTTCTTCTGCGATGATTATAAGGTGTAAGAAGCTGGAGCGATTAAACACTGAGCCCTGTGCATATTTTAGTAGTTTTATTTCCCCTGTGAGAGGCTCCCTCGCCCTGGCCCCTTCCTCCTCACGGCAGCAGCGCCTCTGGCATCTGTCCCGGCTCTGTCTCTAAGGCCACCTTCCCCTCTTCTGTCTTTAGTGTCCCCAGAGGGGTTACATGGCCTGCGCCTCCTTTCCTTGGTTCACATGGGAGGGGGCTTCCCTGTTTCAGATCCAAGTTTCACTTCGCCTTTTTCAGGCGGTTCTGTTTCCTGTCCTGGGGCTGGAGTGGGAGAGAGGCCTCGCCCCTCGCGTGGCTGCTTCTCCACCCGCAGTTTGGGGGCGGGCTGCTCTCAGAGTCAGAAGCGCTCTGGGGAAGGAATGAAGCCTGAAGACCGAAAAGCGTTAGTCCGGGAGGAGCGGGGTTAGGAAGCCCGTTCTCTGTTTTCTCAGTCAGCCGTTTTGCCACGGTGGAATGCAGCAGGTGCGGGGCTCTCAGAGCTTCCCCTCATCCAGCATCTTCCTCAGCCCGTCACAGATCTTGCCAAGGTGCTGAGTGAAGTCAGGCCCGTAGAGGGCCGTGAGCAGGCCGGGGTCGGAGAAGTGATCGAACACGTGGCGGATGCGGCCGTGTGACTTGGGGGTGAGGTGGCGCTCCACTAACTCCAGCAGGGCATCCCGGCACTCGGTCAGCAGGCCGGCCAGAACAGCAGCCTCGAAGGTGAAGTCCACCTCGCCAAAGCTAAGCGCCGTCATGGCACCCTGCCGCAGCTTCTGGCGAAAGCGCGTGGCCACGGCCAGCTCGCCGGGGCCAAAGGAGCCATTGCGGTGCAGCACAGCCACCTTGACGGCCACCTTGATCAGGTCCTTGATAACGCGCTGGGCCTGGGGCCGGCTGTGCGTGTACTCCTTGGACACACGGTACAGCTCATCCAGCACCTCACTGCTTGTCTCATCTATGAAGAGATGAGCCACAGACCGACCCGCCATCTTACTCAGCAGCTTCTTCTCTGCTTGCAGTGCCAGACTCTTTGAGCTGAAGGTCTCCATGGGTCCTGGAGAGTGGGGTGTGTGGTCAGTCACTAGAAGAAAGGCCACAGGCTTCCTTAGAAAGAGAGAAATGGCTTTTCCCCTTTCTGTGGCTTCTTTAGTTTCCATGTCATCATCATCATCTTTGGCATCCTCCCCGCTGCCCCCCGGGACCCCACAGTCCTGCATGCCTTGCTCCTGCTTTTCCCCTTACTGCTGTAGGAACTCTTGACTCCAAAACGGCCCAGGGGAGTGGCGACAGCTGGAGGAATGTGGGCACATGGGGGGCTAGCCCAGCACAAGCTCCATCTCAAGGGGAAGTGGGCTGTTGCTGCTGCAGTGAAAATAGGTATTCTCTCTCTCTCTCTTTCTCGCTCTCTCTGTCTGTCTCTCTCTCTGTCTCGCTCTCTCTCTCTCTCTGTCTCTCTCTCTGTCTCTCTGTCTCTCTCTCTCTCTCTCTCTCTCTCTCTCTCTCTCTCTCTCTGTCTCTCTCTCTCTTTTTGTGATGGAGTCTTGCTCTGTCACCAGGCTGGAGAGCAGTGGCACAATCTCGGCTCATTGCAACCTCCGCCTCCCAGGTTCAAGCAATTTCCCTGCCTCTGCCTCCGAAATAGCTGGGACTACAGGTGTGCACCACCACACCTGGCTAATTTTTTTTTTTTTTTGAGACGGAGTTTCGCTCTCATTACCCAGGCTGGAGTGCAATGGCGCGATCTCGGCTCACCGCAACCTCCACCTCCTGGGTTCAGGCAATTCTCCTGCCTCAGCCTCCTGAGTAGCTGGGATGACAGGCACGCGCCACCATGCCCAGCTAATTTTTTGTATTTTTAGTAGAGACGGGGTTTCACCATGTTCACCAGGATGGTCTCGATCTCTTGACCTCGTGATCCACCCGCCTCAGCCTCCCAAAGTGCTGGGATTACAGGCGTGAGCCACCGCGCCCAGCCAATTTTTTTTTTTTTTTCCTAAGATGGGGTTTCACCATGATGACCAGGCAGGTCTTGAACTCCTGACCTCAGGTGATCCACCCACCTCGGCCTCCCAAAGTGCTAGGATTACAGGTGTGAGCTACAGCGCCCTGTTTTTTTTTTTTTTTTTAAATAGAGATGAGGTTTCACCATGTTGGCCAGGATGGTCTCAAACTCCTAACCTCATGATCTGCCCGCCTTGGCCTCCCAAAGTGCTGGGATTCCAGGCGTGAGCCACCACGCCTGGCCACCTGACAGAATCCTTACAGCTACCATTTTTGGACACTGACTCTGTGCCAGATGTCTGTGTAGTATAGATATTACCATCCTTGTTTTACAGCTGAGCAAACTGAGACTTACATTAAATAATTTACCCAAGCTCAAATCAACTCATGTTTTGGCCCACAAGCCAAGTGGCAGCTAGTGTCCTGAACTGCCTTTAAAGAAGTAAGAAGCATAAACATCCCAGGAATCCTAATAAGAATAACAACTAACATTTACTGAGAACCTACTATGTGCCAAGTGCTTTATGTCAATCATCTTAGTCTTCCCAACCCTCTATAAGGTTAAGGCAGGTATCCCCGTTTTTGCAATGAGAAAACTGAAGCTAAGAGAAATTTAGCAATTTGGCCAAAGTCACTAGTAAATGGTAAAGATGAGCTTCAAAGCAAATAATCCAGAGAACCCGCCTTCCCTGGAACGCTCCCAGTGTGGTTAAAGGACACTGAGGCAGCATGAGAAACAAGCACCTCAAGGCAGGCGGCCCCGAGAGTCGGAGCGTTCTGCTGCGCTGAGCTCAGGACCCTCTGGGCGGCATGTCGGCTCCGTGTGTCCAGGTTTCTCTCCCCATGGTCTTCGCCTGTGCTTCTGGTTGTTTTGCTTCTTACTTCCCCCTCCCCTGCTCTGCAGGATGTGGCTGTGACCGCAGTGAGGAGCAGCCTCACCCTCTCCCCCAAACCAAAATGGGAGTCTGAAGAGGCAGGGGAGGTGGGACTGAGGGGGTTTCTTCCCCAGCTGAATCCTTCCAGTGGAAACCTGAACCTTGCTTTGCTCCCAGCTCGCCTTGGGGCTTTCTGGACCACCAAGCCGGAAGAGGAGATTGCTCCATGTGAGCCTTCCTTCCTCCGTGGCCTTCCTGTTACCCAGATCTCCACTGCCATCTCACAGTTGGTCTGCTGGCCTCTCCCTCTCTCCCTGCTTCAGTCTCCCTTTTTCTCTTGTCTGGGTCTTCCCTTGTGATCCTCTGGCCTGGCCATGCTCTCCCTCTGGCCCTTATCTGTCCATCTCGTGTCTCCTGAGAGTTCCTTGCATTTCTCACACGCCCATATCCACCTGCATCCCTCAGCCCTGCCCCACCCCATCCCATCCCAAACCAGGTCTTTCTGAGGCTGCCTTGGCCCCAGAAGAACTAAGCTAGGCTCTACAAAGGACCCAAGAATGGTACCAACGAGAGATTCACAATATGAAAATCGAAGACTGAAAGAGCTGGAGACTCCTCGGCCACCATGTCTCCCAAAGCCTGCCCTTCTGTCACTGCCAGTCCCTCACCTGCTGTGCTGGATGCCAGTCTTGCCTTGGATGTTCCCGGAAAGCTGACAGAATGGAGAAGCTTCACTTAGTGTGAGAGCCCTTTGGCTTGGCCCCACCCCTTGAGCCCCGCCTACCTACTCTCTGCTCAACCTCCGGTTCATCGCTACTGTCACCAAAAAGGCCTATGGCCCAAGAGCAACCTAGAAATCAGACAAAGATAGAAAAGAGTGGAATTCTGTGCGAAGCAGCTCTGAGTTTTTGAAGCGGGGAAAGGGATTTGCATCCTCCACTCTCAAATTGCTTCTTTCTTTTCTTGCTGCCCAGTTTCTGGAGATCCTGTCCTTATATATTTCTACAGTACTGGGAAGGATGTAAAGTCCAGATTTCTGGGGTAGGGAGTCAGGGGGAAAAGTTCTGAAGATTGAAAGGTGGTGCTTTGGGGAAAGTATTTAATATATTATTCCAGAGCCTGGCAGGTAAAGGCACAGACTGCCACAACCCTTAATATTGAAGGGAGGAAGGTGTGGAGACCAGGGCTGCTGAACCACAGGTGACCAGCAGGTGTCAGCACAGCACTGAATCACTAGCCTAGTAGCCTAGAGGAACAAGACTACTGAGGGTTTTTTTTTTTTTTAGAGGGAGTCTCGCATGCCCAGGCTAGAGTGCAATGGCGCGATCTTGGCTTACTGCAACTTCTGCCTCGCGAGTTCAAGCGATTCTCCTGTCCCAGCCTCCTGAATAGCTGGGACTAGAGGCACGCACCACCACACTCAGCTAAGTTTTTGTATTTTAGTAGAGACGGGGTTTCACTGTGTAGGCCAGGCTGGTCTTGAACTCCTGAGCTCAGGCAATCCACCTGCCTTGGCCACCCAAAGTGCTAGCACTACAGCTGTGAGCCACTGAGCCCAGCCTTTTTTCTTTTCTTTTTTTTTTTTTGAGATGAAGTTTTGCTCTTGTCACCCAGGCTAGAGTGCAATGGCATGATCTCCGCTCACTGCAACCTCCGCCTCTTGGGTTCAAGCAATTCTCCTGCCTCAGCCTTCCAAGTAGCTGCAATTACAGGTGCATACCACTACGCCCGGCTAAATTTTCTATTTTTAGTAGAGACGGGGTTTCACCATGTTGGCCAGGCTGGTCTCAAACTCCTGACCTCAGGTGATTCCACCCACCTTGGCCTCCCAGAGTGCTGGGATTTCAGGTGTGAGCCATCTCACCTGGCAGTGCCTATTGAGCTTTGTAGCTGCTAAAGGGATACAAAAATGAGCGGAAGCCACAGTTGGGTTTTGTTTGTTTGTTGCTTTGTTTTTGGGATAGGGTCTTGCTCTGTCACCCAGGCTGGAGTGCAGTGGCATCATCACAGCTGACTGCAGCCTCGACCTCCTGGGCTCAGGAATCGATCTTCCTACCCCAGCCTCCCAAGTAGCTGGGACCAGAGGTGCACACCACCAAGCCTTTCTTTTTCTTTTTCTTTTTCTTTTTTTTTTTTTTTTTTTTTGTAGAGAGGAGGGTCTCACTATGTTGCCCAGGCTGAACTTCTGGGCTCAATCAATACTCCCATCTTGGCATCCCGAAGTGTGGAGATTACAGGCATGAGCCACCTGCACCGATCCTGGAAGTCATAGTTGTTGAATGAGACAAAAATACTGACCATCAAGAATCTTACAGGGAATCTGGCCAGGGAGAGAAGCTTAAGCATAAATAACAGTAATACTAGTCAAACAATGCCATTAGCTTTAATAGAGATTTAAACAATTACGAGAGTAGGCCGGGCACGGTGGCTCACGCCTGTAATTCCAGCACTTTGGGAGGCCGAGGCGGGTGGATCACGAGGTCAAGAGATCGAGACCATCCTGGTCAACATGGTGAAACCCCGTCTCTACTAAAAATACAAAAAATTAGCTGGGCATGGTGGCGCGTGCCTGTAATCCCAGCTACTCAGGAGGCTGAGGCAGGAGAATTGCCTGAACTCAGGAGGCGGAGGTTGCGGTGAGCCGAGATCGCGCCATTGCATTCCAGCCTGGGTAACAAGAGCGAAACTCCGTCTCAAAAAAAAAAAAAGAATTATGAGAGTAAAGAAGCTTAATTATGATAGGGCTGAAGAGGTAGACTTGGAAAGATAGATTCAACTACTTAGTAGCCAGAGATGAGGAAGAAGTCTCAGATAATGGGGACAGCATAAGCACATACAGGAAAAAAACAATACAGGACATTCTGAGGAAGTGGCGATTTATGTCTGGAGTGTAGATAAGTGAAGAAGGAAAAAGATCAGATCATGGCAAGCTTTAAAAAAGTTGCTCCGGCCAGGTGTGGTGGCTCATGCCTGTAATCCAAGCACTTTGGAGGCCAAGGCCGGCGGATCACCTGAGGTTGGAAGTTCAAGACCAGCCTGACCAACATGGTGAGACCCCGTCTTATAGAAAAAACAAAACAGGCTGCGCGCGGTGGCTCATGCCTGTAATCTCAGCACTTTGGGAGGCCGAGGCGGGTGGATCACGAGGTCAACAGATCGAGACCATCCTGGTCAACATGGTGAAACCCCGTCTCTACTAAAAAAACAAAAATTAGCTGGGCATGGTGGCGCACGCCTGTAGTCCCAGCTACTCAGGAGGCTGAGGCAGGAGAATTGCTTGAACCCAGGAGGTGGAGGTTGCGGTGAGCCAAGATCACGCCATTGCACTCCAGCCTGGGTAATAAGAGCGAAACTCCGTCTCAAAAAGAAAAAGAAAAAGAAAAAACAAAACAAACAAACAAAAACAACAAAAAAAGTTGCTCCATGAAAAACAATCTTCACAATTGGGGAGAAAAAAAGTTGCTCCAGGCTGGGCTCAGTGGCTCACACCTGTAATCCCAGCACTTTGGGAGGCTGAGGCAGGTGGATCTCCTGAGGTCTGGAGTTGAAGATCAGCCTGACCAACATGGAGAATCTCCATCTCTACTAAAAATACAAAATTAGCAGGGTATGGTGGTGTATGCCAGTAATCCCAGCAACTCGGGAGGCTGAGGCAGGAGAATCGCTTGAACTCAGGAGGTGGAGATTGCAGTGAGCCAAGATCGCGCCATTGCACTCCAGCCCGGACAACGAGCAAAACTGCGCCTAAAAAAAAAAAGAAAGGAAAAAAAAGTTGCTCCAGAGTACAGACTTTTCCTGTAGGTAGTAAGGAGACACTTAAGGTATTTCATCAAGGAAATGAAATAATTAGCTCAGTGGGAACGAGTTAGATGTTCAACAAAATTTGGCTGAGAAAAGAGTCCCAGCTACTTTGGAGACTGAGGCAAGAGCATTGCTTGAACCCGGGAGGCAGAGGTTGCAGTGAGCCATGCTCACGCCACTGCCCTCCACCCTGAAACCTGACAACAGAGTGAGACTGTCTCAAAAAAAAAAAAAAAAAAATGCAAAAGAAACAAAATGATGTGAATAAAAGTTTTGGTTTCTGGTAAAAAAAAAAAAAAAAAAAAAACAGGTCTCACTCTGTTGCCCAGGCTGGAGTAGAGTGGCATGCTCATAGCTCACTGCAGCCTCCAACTCCTGGGCTCAAGTGACCCTCTCCCCTTAGCCTCCCAAAGTGCCGGGATTACAGGTGTGAGCCATGGCACCCCACCTGTAATTTGTGCTTTTTTTTTTTTTTTTTTTTTTTTTAAACAGAGTCTCACTCTGTTGCCCAGGCTAGAGTGCAATGGCTTGATCTTGGCTTACTGAGACCTCTGCCTCCTGGGTTCAAGTGCTTCTGTCTCAGCATCCCAAGTACCCAAGTAGCTGGGATTATAGGTGCCCACCACCACGCCCAGCTAATTTTTGTATTTTTAGTAGAGGGCTTTCACCATGTTGGTCAGGCTGGTCTTGAACTCCTGACCTCAGGTGATCCGCCCGCCTTGGCCTCCAAAGTGCTTGGATTACAGGCGTGAGCCACTGCGCCCAGCCTCAATTTTTTGTTTTTTTAGTAGAGATGGGTTTTCACCATGTTGGCCAGGATGGTCTCAATCTCCTGACCTTGTGATCCTCCCTTCTTGGCCTCCCAAGGTGCTGGGATTACAGGTGTGAACCACTGCACCTGGACAATATTTGTATTTTTAGTAGAGAAGGGGTTTCAACATCTTGGCCAGGCTGGTCTTGAACTCTTGACCTTGTGATCCACCCACCTTGGTCTCCCAAAGTGCTGAGATTATATGTGTGAGCTACTGCACCCAGCTGAAAAAAAAATTTTTTTTTAAGAGACAGGGTCTTGCTGTCTTGCCCAGGTTGGAGTACAGTGGCTCAATCATAGTTCACTGCAGCCTCAAACTCCTGGACTCAAGGAGACCTCCTGCCTCAGTCTCCCAAAGTCCTGAGATTACAGGAGCGAGTCACTGTGCACCCCAGCCAAATGATGGTATCTTAAACGTGCAAAACACTTTTGAGTTTGCAAAACATTTCACCTACAGTATCTTATTTGATCCTAAGAGGTAGGCAGGATGTTAGTTTGTCCACTTACCACTGACAGACTCAGAGATAAGTGGTTTATCCAAAGCGATACTCCAGAGATGAATCTAGCTAAGTCTCAACAGCTCCCAATGGTGC